TTTAGGACAAATTTTATAAATTCCACCTATGTCATGCCCCCTAAACTCTAAAATGTGCATGTTGTGCCCCATGAACTTTGTTACTTGTGTCAACACACCCCCTGAGGTTAACTTCGTTAAGTTTTTTAACAAAAATAATTATAAAAAAAAAAAAAATAAATACCGCCCCCCCCCCCCCCCCCCCCCGAACTTTGTCACTTGTGCCAATATACCCCCTGAACTTTAAAATGTACATGTTTTGCCCCCGAACTATAATATGTCTCCAAATTTTCTCCTCCATCTTGATTATATCAGGTTTTTTAAACGAAAATATTGATATGACCATTAAATTACTAATTATCTATAATATTTGAGGTTTATTGAATACATTCTCCTCTAAAAATGTTAGTTAAGCACCAATTCTCAAAACATTAGTAGATTAGAGGCAACAAAGAGGGAAAAAATGAGGAGCAAATATGTATAATGTAATGAATTTTGTTATTTTTTTCTTCATATTCCACCTAGATAGAATTGCTAGAAGTGCTTGACATAAAATATGTTTGTGCTTTATACATATATAGAATTTTTAAATTTGAATGCATTCATGTCATTTATTTTATTGTACCTTTAAAAAAAATCAACACAAACCTTAAGAAACCCATTAACTTTACAAAATTTAAAGGTCAAACATCATAGATAATTAGCAATTTAATGGTCATATCAGCATTTTTATTCAAAAAACTAATGGAATCAAGATGGAGGGAGAAAAGTTAGAGACATATCATAGTTCGGGGGGCAAAACATGTACATTTTAAAATTTAAGGGGCATATTGACACAATTGACCAAGTTCAGGGGGTGTTTATAAGTGTTTTTGCTAAAAAAAACTTAACAGAGTTAACCTCAAGGGTCATGTTGACACAAGTCACAAAGTTTAAGGGGAATTTATAAAATTTGTCCTAAGTTTTATATACTAGAGGATAATATTTAAGGATAATAATCGAAATAAGTCAATAATGAATTTAATTAAAGTTCAGAATCTTTGATTAAAACATTATTAATATATGATATTCCCATTAAGAATGGAAGAAGCTTATCTGCATCATTGATATAGAGGCATATCAAATGATGAGATTATGTATGATTGGGACAAGACACAATATGAATTTATGATAATTTCTTTTAAATAAAGAAATGCTAATTAAGTCTGCCGACTATCATATATAGAATAATCTTAACCTTGAGTTATTAGCAGACTCCTATTATGGACTCTTGTCTTTTGACTTACTTGGTATGGATTTCGAGATTACTAAATCCTATTCCTTGTATCTTGAGACTTGATGAAGTAAGTAGCTGAGAATATTAATATACAGATGGAATCCATTCCTTCTTGAGAAAGATGCAGATAAATAATTCTCTTGAGGGTTGATTTGATCCTTTGATTAGTAGAGCTTCGATTCATGAATTCATTTTATGAATCACTATCAATTAGAAAATCTATGGTACTTAAGGATAAAGATGAAATAAGAGACATTAACAGATTTCACCTAGTTCTAATTATGAATTATTTATGAAGGGTCAATCTATATGAAGTGGCTATATTAAATGGACGTTTCACAGATGTAAACTGTTGGGGCTCTTTTGGAGAGGGTCTGTCGACGTAGAAGGTGTGAAACTCGTGGCCTCGTTTGGTTCGCTATGACTGTGCACTCACCGACTGACGTGGTCGGAGAGCTGCTGAGGGTACCTCCTGGCGTCGACAGTGGCCGGGATGATGAGGTTGGCCCTGGCTGAGGTAGGCAAAACCCGGATGTCCCCAAGGAAGACAGTATCCGAGGGCGACACCCATTGCGGTTTTAGCTCCGTGACGTTAAGGAATTTTCGATGGGGATCTCCCAGTGAGCGTATAGTGTGGGAGAGGAACGTGACTAGTTTATGGAGGAGGTTTCTAAGTGGGTAATGGAGTTATACTTGTCTGTTTGTGAATAAAATGATCCCGACTGACGTAGAGTGTGAAGGGAGTGAAATAGTCAATCTCGAGGTGTTGGGCTGTGGTTAAGGGCTTTTGGTGTTTCAGGAGCTTTTGTTACCACTTCCAATGGGGAGAACGCCTAGAAACTTGTTCTAGAGGGACTTCACCGGAAGTTATGGAGAATATAATTCTCCGTCGGTCGATCTGATAGAAACCAGAAAATCAGAGGAGTTAGAACAGAATACCTTGATCTGCCCTTCTCCCTATTTTCCCGTGTATTGTTTCTTTTTTGAGAGGTTTGGGCCACGATATTTATAGGCCAGGATCGTGGTAAAGAAAAAGGAGGGAAGCTTTCCCGCCAATCGTCTGGGATTTTGGCTGCAATTCCCCTCAGAGGTCCCTGTCGGTAAGACATTTTCAGTGGGATCCAAAGGCAGTTTTTGATGATCCCAGAGGAATGTTTACCCCAGAAGGGAATGTAACAGGTTGCTGGGTAGCCAGACGTGGCTTTGTGGCCATTTGGACAAGATCAGGGAGTGGCAGCCGGACGTGGTTTTGTGGCCAGTTTCTGGGCGAGGTGAGGGGGTGGCAGGCAGACGTGGCTTCGTGGCCATTTGGGCAAGGTCAGGGGGTGGCAGCCAGACGTGGCCACTTGGGCGAGGTCAGGGAGTGGCAACGGGGTGAACAGAGATTTTTCCCCTCCCACTCATATGTATTCTGGCCTTTCACGGTGTTTTTTGAGGAATGGACTGCCTTGAGCTGAGAAGGCAAAAGTTGGACGAAGAAAAGGAAAAGAAAGATGTGGAGAAATGTTGCTTTGTGTCTCAATGTGAGGTAGTGGGCTAATACGTTTTTCCTGGACTGTCTATAGGTTTTACTCTATCTAATTTCCTCCATAACCCACATTATCCTAATTTCCTCATAGACCCAGGACCACCCCAAGTGGGCCAAGGATCTAATTGGGCCGGATAAAATAGGTCCAGTCACATTCCTTAACCTGCCAAACCATGGCCCACATAGAAGTCCCCGAACGTAGCTTGGGTCCACGTACCATACCATACACGGCCCAATATGAAGAGTATAATTCTAAATTTATAGTAGAGTAACTTTAGAATTAATTAATGGATTTATGTGTTTGATAAATTATTAATTTTATTAGAGCTTGATATTATTGATTCAAGAATCTCTGCATCATCCTTGTAATTCTACAAGACATTAAGGATAAAACGAAAAATTTATAATTATGGAATTCTAAATTAATATCACTTAAAACAATTAATTGAGAATTAATTAGATATTAAATAATGTAATTATTTAATGGGTAATTTTAGAATACACATGTTGTGAGACCACATGATCTACACACCTAGCACTAGAGGAATCTTTCTGGAATTCAGGTGATTGCTCTCCAAGTTATCTAATTTACTTGTTAGACAAATTATCCAATTGAAATTCAAATCAGTTTGAAATTTGACTTTAAATAAAATTTGAATTTGAGTCAATATTAGACAATACAATAAGGAAAGAATTTTTTCCTCCTTCTGGATAAGGTAGCGCCTACCACAGGGATTCTATGGTGGTTGAATTTCACAAGTCCAAGGAGAGAAAAATCGTTCCAAAATTAAATAGGAATTAATCTTGATTTCAATTGAGATTTAAAATAAAAATTAATCTCTAATTTCCTATAACCTTATCTTAGAGATACATTAGACTCCTCATGAGACTCTAATTGGTACTCTATAAATAGGTAGGAGCCAAAAATTTGAGAACATAATTTTGGCTCACCAAACTTAGTGGTGGTTGAATTTTAGAGAGAAAAGGGAGAAGAGTTCTTCCAAATTCCCAGCTCCACATCGTACATGTGTTTATATTTGTGGAAGACTAGTGAGTTGAGTGCTAATCTTGTTTTTTGTTTCAGGTGTGCCCACACACAGTCTTCGTAGAGTCAAGGAGTAAACGAGGAAGATTCTTGGTGATATGAGAACTAGAGCACTTAGATTGTTCATGGTCAAAGAATTCAAGCTGTCATACTAATCGGCCGCTAGGCATATTTTTAAATTAATTAGATTAATTTCCTAATTATAAATTTATATAATTTATAGTGTTTACAAAAGTTTTTATAAAAATATTTGTTTGTACTCGATCTGCATTACCGCGCTTCCGTATCCGAAATCGTTTTGAAAGCCAACAATGTCATCTTCTCATCAGATTAATGGTGTTCTTGAATTTGTGGCTTAACTGGATTCAAACGGTGATCATGAGTTTTAAAGCCACGTTCGTTTCGCTTGTTCATCTTAAGAATTTGAGTTAAAAAGTGAATTCATGTGAGAGAAAATACTACAATAAAAAAAATTAAATTTTAATTTTTATTAGAGAAAATACTGTAGCAAAAATTTGTGTTACGATTCAAACTAGTAAAAGGAATGAGCTGAAATAGTTTTAGTAATTTACAGTTTGATTTTTGTCGACTGTAGAGAACACGGTCTCTACAACTACCAAACTTTTAATATCACTTATAAATGAAGTAAGGTCCCTGAACTTTTCAAATTTAGTGATTTAGTCCCTAAACCTTTTTTCTTAACAATCAACACCCCAAACTTATAGTTGTTGAAACTTTCAATCTTTATTGCTCAAATTTATTAAAATTTTGGTGATTTTTTACGCCTAGGTTACAAATGATAGTCTAATAAAGGCATTGGTGTTCCTTTTTGTTTAGTTTCAATACAAACACATTTAAAAAAGTTGAGCTTAATTTAATCATAACTTAAACTTTAATCAAAATTTTAACATAAAATTTTGTTAATACTAAATAAAAATATCATCAATTTACTTTTTAAGCTGTCACTAGTAGGTTTGACACAAAAAAAAATTAAAAGTTTAACGAATTTGAGCGACGAGGACTAAAAAGTATTAAAAATTAAAAGTTCTAATGGTTGATTGCCAGTAAAAAAAATGTTATGGACTAAATTGTTAAATTTGAAAAGTTCAAAGGGTGTTGGTACAAAATAGCCATTAAATAAATAAACAAACCATAAAAGTGCAGACCCAAATGTAAAAAATGTCCCCACATTTTCTCAAGTCCTGCAACGTTTTACCCATCAACACCAAAAACTTCTCATTTTCCACCCACAAAACAAAGTACTCTAGCACCTGCAACTTGGGCTGAAGTAAAAATTGGCGAAAAAGATGTACAACAGTGCTAGAGAAACCATGGACCTTCTTTCTCTTGCTTTTTCAATTGGGTTTTGTCATTTCTTTTGCTTCATAGAATTCTCAGCCGCCATTGACGCCATAACTCAAAACCAGTCCATAACCAAAGCGACAAGCTTGGTCTCCAAAAATGGAAGCTTCGAACTTGGTTTCTTCACTCCGAGCGCAAATTCGAAGGATCTTTTCGTGGGAATCTGGCACAAGAACAAAATCCCACTTAGAACTGTCGTTTGGGTGGCCAATCAGCACAACCCCATCAAGAATTCAAATGGGGTTTTAAAGATAAACGACACAGGTAATGCCATCCTTCTTGGTCAGAACAGCTCTGTCGTTTGGTCAACAAACTCGTCACTAAAACAAGTCCAAAACCCAGTTTTGCAGCTCTTAGATTCTGGGAATTTGGTCCTAAAAGACGGAAATAAGTATTTTTGGCAAAGTTTTGAATATCAAATGAAAAGCGTTGTAATTTCAGACTCAAAAGACTCGTGTGATGATTCTGGTTTCTGTGGCCCAAATGGAATGTGTGACATTAGTAAGGTTCCACTTTGTAGCTGCCCAAAAGGGTTTAAGCCCAAGTCACCAGAAACACTGAAAACCTTGGATTATAAAGAGGGTTGTGTACGGAATGAGGAATTGGAATGTGGGAAAACGGATTATGGGTTTATCAAATTTGTTGGGGTGAGATTGCCAGATGCCAAAAATTCTTGGGCTGATCAGAAAATGAGTCCCAAGGAGTGCAAAGAAAAGTGCTTGAAAAATTGTTCTTGTACGGCTTATATAAGCTCAGGTGCTAATGGAGGTGTTAGTTGTACCATTTGGTTAGGCGACCTTGTTGGTCTTAGAGATGCCTTGAATGGTGGCAAAAATCTGTTTGTTAAAATGCCATCTTCAGAGATAGGTATGAAGAATCTCTCTCTCTCTCTCTCTCTCTCTCTCTCTCTCTCTCTCGTTTTAATCTTTTTGCTCCTCATTTTGTAGGGTCTTTCATCTCACGTTAGTTAATGGTTCCATGTCGAAATTTGATTCTTTCCCTTGTTTTCCTTCTTTGCGAAAATAGAAGTTTTGATTTTTCTGCTAAAAAAAGGACTTCATTGGGTCTCTTTATTGTCAACACTTCATTGGGTCTCTTCAATTTCAATTTCTTGTTCTGTTGTGCTTGATGATGATTTCATTTGATTCCCACCGAAAATATGATTACTTCCCATGTTTTAGCAAGTTCTTCTCAAATTTTTGTCCTGTGGAATTTAACTTTGAAGATGAGAAACATGGGAACAAAGTGAAGATAGTGGCGATCACTGTAGCTACTTCTGTTTTCATCATCACTGGGGTATTGTTAGCAGTTTACTACATACGAAGAAACAGGAAAACCATCAAAGGTAATATCTCGTATCTGAATATTTTTCCCCGTATCTACTACAATTGAATGTACTACTACTACGATGTACTACTACTACTATTTTAGTTTGCTCAACTTGTAAATGGTTCTTGGTTCTTCTTCTTACTACTACTCCTACTACAACTTGTAAATGGTTCTTGGTTCTTCTTCTTACTACTACTACAACTTGTAAATGGTTCTTGGTTGTAAATGGTTCTTCTTCTCTTAAGCCTTGAATCAATCATTATAGCTCCATTGTCATTGGCATATTGTTTTCTCGGTTGAAAATGATGTACTTCTACTGTTTGTTCTGTGACTTTAATAGTTTATAATCTGCATATAGTGGCTTGAATTATTGAATATGTGATGTAATGAATATTATATTGGTTAAATCTTTCCAAGTGTTTGAAAGTTCTTAATTTACACCCATAAAGTTGAAAAACTTGGAGAGTCTATTAGAAAAGCATCTTATTTCAGATCCAAGTTCAATGAGAAATCAAAGCGCAGTTACTATTTCTCTAATACTAATACGTACATATCTTCTCTCCCTTCATTATTTTACATTACGAGTAGTGACGTGTTCCAAAATTTAAGGGAAAACAAGTTTCTTTCTTGTCTCAATTTTCTTCTCCTCATTGGTGAACATAGAGAACAATGGAAATGAAGAAGGCCAAAAGGAAGATCTGGACCTGCCTTTGTTCAACCTACCCACAATAGCTACTGCCACAGATAATTTTTCATTCAACAACAAGCTCGGTCAAGGTGGATTTGGGGCTGTGTACAAGGTAATTTTCAGTTTTTCTGTACAAGAAGAACGAAAAAGAAGAGCTTAAAACCACAGCAATCTTTTCTTATAAAAGTAATTTTCAGGGTACACTAGAAGATGGACAAGAAATAGCTGTGAAGAGGCTTTCGCAGAGCTCTGGACAAGGAGCGAACGAGTTCAAGAATGAAGTAATACTGATTGCAAAACTTCAACACCGAAATCTTGTAAGGCTTCTTGGTTGTTGCATTCAAGGAGAAGAGAGACTGCTCATTTATGAATACGTGCCCAACAAAAGTTTGGACTACTATATTTTTGGTTTGGTTTTTTCATCGACCTTATTTATGTTGTTAGAAATTTCCTATATTACATGGCTTTGCAATAACTTGAATGATAAACTTATCAGATGAAACAAGAGGTAAAGTCTTAGATTGGCCTAAGCGCTTCAACATTGTCCTTGGGATTGTGAGGGGGCTGATCTACCTTCATCAAGATTCTAGATTGAGGATCATACATAGAGATCTCAAAGCAAGTAATGTTTTACTTGATGGTGAGATGATCCCGAAAATTTCAGACTTTGGCATGGCTAGAACTTTTGGAGGAGATCAAATAGAAGGAGTTACAAACAGAGTGGTTGGGACCTTGTACGTATGCATAATTACAATTTGTATCATTCTCTTGTTTTGTCCTAAAACGATGATTTACCATGTATGCTGAATCATTGATTTAGCAAGTACATCAAGTAAAATCGTCATGAGTTTTATGAAAAGTAAGTTGATTTAAGGACGTAATTCTGAAAAGGGATCTAAATTTGTTGTCCTTTATGCACGCATTCATGTCGTTTTTATTTTGCTTATCTATTTATTGAGTTATTATTATTGTTTTCTTTTTTTTTTTTTTTGTGATGCTCTACCAGTGGCTACATGGCACCAGAGTATGCTATTGATGGTCAATTCTCAGTAAAATCCGATGTCTTTAGTTTTGGCATCTTAATGTTAGAGATAGTAAGTGGAAAGAGAAATAGAGGGTTCTATAATCCTAGTGATGACGACATGAACCTCATCGGATATGTAAGTATCAATCAAGGATTGGCCTTTTCTTCAACAAAATTTTACCCCGGACTGAATAATTTTGTTCGAATACTTTTTAGGCGTGGGAGTTATGGAAAGAAGGAAGGCCTTTAGGACTACTTGATGAATGCCTCACTGGGGACACATGTACTCTATCAGAAGCGCAGCGTTGCATCCATGTCGGTCTCTTGTGCGTTCAACAGCTTCCGGAAGACAGGCCGAGCATGTCGTACGTGCTGTTGATGCTTGGTGATGATAGGACTCTGCCTCAGCCTAAAGAACCAAGCTTCTTTTTGGGAAAAAAAAGTTCTTATTCATAAAAGGTAGTAGGATAAAAGTGGGAGATACCTCCGCCTATATGAAGTTTTCTCCGCCTATATTTTGTTTTCTTTCTATATAACTCAGTTCATTTATGTGCATATATAGATACACAAGAGAAATATATAGAGATGTAAAATCGTTGTTGTAGGGCATTGTGACAGGTCCTATACTGTTTTATAGCGGTTTTTAGACCCTGTGCCCCCTTATTTCTACCCTCTATGTGTTTAAGATATATCATGCCACGTCAATTAAAATGGCATGTCAGTTAGAGTATAATGCCACGTACATTAGAATGAAAAAATGCTTGGAAACACTGTTGGTTTTGAGAGTCCACCCCACTTGTCAGCTCCACGTTGTGGTGCATGATCTCTATTAGTGTGGTGTCTATATCACTGCTGTCTTATAACATTGTTCATTGAAATGCCGCTGATATAATATTTATTAGAGAGACACGAAACTGAAATCAAATCCCATTATTTTCAACTTTACAATCTCAATTGTCAGCCTCTGATATTCGGGTTGAGACAACTTGCTGCTTCTATTAATGAGAAAACCAACTGGTTAAGGATATGTACATTAAAAATTAAAAAGGGAGAAAGAGGAAAATATGTCAAGATTTGAGATGAATTAAAATTAATAGGTCAATAGTTTACATAAATTAATAAATATGTCAAATTACTGTTTTCGTCCATAACTTGTCTGGTTATGAACCATAACTTGACAAGTTATTATCTATAATTGTCCATAACTTATCTGGCTATGAACCATAACTTGACAAGTTTATCCATAACTTATCTGGTTATGAACCATAACTTAACAATTTATGACCTATTAATTTCTATAACTAAAAATTGACCTATATACTTTCTTAAGCTTTCCATATTGACTTATTTTCTACAATTTCCCAATTAAAAAACAGTAACTCCGCCTATATAATGTACCCTTTTCCATTAGTTCAGGCCAAAATCTAGTCCACAAATTTAGATGTCCTAAGTCAACAAAAATTAATAAGCCATTTATCTTTTCATTTTGTTCTTTGGTTAGATTTCAATTTAGAAATGCAGGAACATACAAGCTAGAGAGGTCGTTGTTTTAAGAGAAAACTACCCCTTTATAATAGTAGGCTTTTGCCTAAGAAGTAATTACATAAAAGGCCCGAGTCTAAAAATGTCTTCTATTTACAATACTAGAAAAAGATTCACTTGTGCCTAATATGGAATATTTTATTACTGATTTGCCCTTATATCTTTTTATGAGCATGTTCCTAATTTGGTATATTTTCATATTTATTTTAGGATATTTTCTTTGATTATAAACCTGATTTGACTTTCCTTTTTTCCTCATTTAATATTTTGTCATCAATTAATTGATTTTATACTGATATGATATTTTAAACTAGGATTTTCCCTCCCATTATATTAAAAAACGAATGTTTGCTGCTCAGTTTTGTGCTTTTGAGGCGACATCTGATTTGGTTCCAAGAGAGGGTGGCCAAGTTTTCATTCCGAGTTTGTTTCACTATGTAATTATCATTCAAATAGTGGTTATTTTGATTAATGAAATTGGGTTTTATTTTATCCTTTTCAAATTGGGGTGTGTTTTTTTTTTTTTTTTTTTTTTTTTTTTTTTTTTTTTTTAATGATTTACATGTTCTGTTCGCTACTGATTGAAATAATAAATTTAATGAAATTGTAGGATTTCTGGCTCATATATTTTTTTCATTACTTACTTTTCACTGTCATTCTTATAATGATATTTAGTTTTGATTCTCATTCTCTTGCATATTCTGTATATTAGTTATCATATTTATTACTGTATATTATGGTTTTCATTATCATTCTTTCTCATTCTCTTGTATATTCTGGTTCTTCTCAACAGTTTAGTCCAGTAATGAGAGGAAAATCTCTCTTAGTGAACGCTACCACATTGCCACTAATATTGAAGTGCAACTCCGAGCTGGTGTGGGAGCAGTCTTAAGATTAGGTGGTGGAGCAACTGGGGTATGAATTTAAGTCTCATTCAGTTCGTTGATTTGAGTCTTTAATTTGATCTAAGATGTGATTTTATATGAGTTTTTTACTGTAACAGAAAAAAATATAACTTCTTGTTAGAGTTTTTAACTGTCGTAAAATTAAAATTGAAAATTCGAATCGGTAAAATGAACATGACCTTATTAATTTCTATATCTAAGAAATGACCAAAACAACCTTTCTGAAAAAGTGAAATCTAGCTATCCGTCAAGCCTTTTAATTCCTTAATCACATCAATTTTCGAGTAGTTGTTAATCTTGAATGTTTTCGTTCGAGTATATTCCAGCGAAGGGTCCTGCATATTTTAGTCACGAGAATACTCATTTCACTTATTTAGAATGTATTTAACAATAATTATGAAAATCAAAAGATAACTATAGTAGTGAAAGCTCCACTGAAATGAACATTAACATATGCTATTTCATTAAGGACGACCTTTTATTTATAAAATACAGTTACTTTTAATGAAACTGACTGTACAATAATGAACAAAATAATCAACAGCAACGAAATAATGAAAACCATATATAGTCAACCCAAAATTATCATAACGAAACTAATTTCACAGTCTATAGATTGAGTTAAACAGAATGAACATAATCAAAATAATAATCAATAGCAATGTAAGAATGAACATATAATGAAAAACATATAATCACCATAAAGAATAGAATGATCTTAAAGAACAAAATAATCGATAGCATTGTATGAATGAAAAACATATAATGAACCAAAACAGAAGCAGAAAATATTAATCTTTTTTTCAGAAGAACGCTCATAATGAAATTTATTTTCACAGCCAATGGGTTGGGTTAAACAGAATGATCATAATGAACGTAATCATGATGAATGACTTAACAAAAACATGGCCTTCAAAAAATTATGATAATGAAGAATGTACAAAACAATGAATGTGCATATTATAACAAGTACTAAGATTTAATGAAACTGAATTTTTAACATATACCAAAATAATGAACAGCATTATGATAATGAAAAACAAACTACGGGCCTAAAAAAAAAACACAAATCAATGCCTATTTGATTCACTTCCTCGAATCGTAATCCAAAAAATAATTCACAACCCATGCTTCAATAGAATAACACACATAAATTGAAAATTGTTTTCGGAAATCTAAAGAAAATAGTTTGATGAGAATGATCATAAGGACACTGATGGCAAATCCACAAAATTATGATAATGAAAAACACAAAAACGATTAAGCAAAATCAAAAAAATTAAACAAAAATTCAAAAAAATGTAATTGAACATTCACGGTAATTGAACGGGTTCAGTATTACCACTATGTTTTGTGGAATGGCCTCTGCGTTTGATGATTCCCCATCTTTAGAACTCCGGCTTCGCGCTGTTGTAGAAGACACCGTCGGCATGTTCTTTGTGCCGACTCTTTCATCTCTCTCGTTGAGTTTCTTCGCCGTCGTATTCTTTCACATAATCCGGTCCGGGATTTTGCCATGGAGGTCCGGTTATGTGCGCCGTCTATGGTTGCGAAGGTAGGGTTTTTTTGGAGGAGGAAATCTGTTTTGGGGGAAAACCGTGTATGGGAATGTTTTAATGAGCAATAATTTGCAGCTTAATTGGGATCCAAATCCGCAAAAAGAAAGGATTAATTCGGATTAAAGTGTTCTACACGCGGAGCTTCCATCAACGCCACCCACACGCGTGCCACCTCGCTCAAGCTTCTTAGCTCCGCCTGTCAAATTCCGCTACGTGGCCTAATAGCAATCAAAGCCCCGGTTGGTTTGAACTTTTGCTTGCTGACGTGATAAAGCACTTTTCATTTCGCTGATTCAAGTTTAGAATTCGAGTTTTGTTACAGTAAAAAGTTCTCACAAACAATCACATCTAATTTTTTTGCTACAATAAAAAACTCTCACATAAAATTACATCTCAACTCGAATTAAAAACTTGAATAAGTGAAATGAACGGGCCGCATTCCTTCAACACAGCACAGTGTAGACCCAAAATTAGGGAGTGTTTATTTTATATACCCAAATTCAAACCTATAATTGTGTTACAGTGTAAAAATTTCATAAAAAAAATTTAAATTTTAAACGTTAAAATTAAAAATTAAAAATTCAAGCATATCTTTTAAACGGGTCCTAATAGAGCCTTGTTAGAGAGCTAAGAAGAAAAATTAGGGGAGTTATTTTTAGAAATTTGGGGTTAGTTTTAGGATTTTATTTTCTTTAGATTTTAGGTTTTTATTTAGGATTATTGGAGAAGGTATTTTTGAGGCTACAATTTGAAGAAGAAGAAGATTTGGAAGACGAATCCTGGAGACCCGTAACACCTTCGATTAGTTTTATTTTCTGAATTTTCTAATTCTTTATTTTTGTTCTTTAATTTTATCGGGAACCAATGTTTTAGTTTATTTTTTTAGGGTTGCGATGTAGCTGGATTACGAGTATTTAATTTCTTCTATTAATAAATTAATTTAAGTGTTATTCCCAATTTTGACGAGTATTTCATTCCATTCTTAATGCTTGTGATTGTCTGATAAATAATTACATGAATTGGTTTTCAATTTGAGATTGAGAAGTGATGACTAAATAGGCCCATCAGTGTGATGCCATTAGAACATCATAAGTTAGAGTTAATTATATGACTTTTGCAGTGGAAATGATTTCCTCATGTTCTTAATGAATCCCAACATGTTAAAATCTTGACAGAGATGTAAGATCTGCATGTTTGGGGTATGATTATTAATGCTTGAGAAAGATTAATAATTAATTTAGAGAAATTCATTGTCAATATTGGGAATAAACATAATTTATTTAAATAAGGATTTTCATATATGATTAATTTTGGTGAGTCATAGACTTAGATAATTTAGATAATTTATTTTTATTTTATTATTCTCACTTTAATTTTCAGTCGTTCAAATAATTTTAGAGTTAACCAATTTTAGTACTTAATTAAAATTAAAGTAACTATCATGAAATCGACATTGTATTTATATTTTATTACTTGTTAACGATAACGTATACTTACGTTACGACTTCGCGTAACCAAACTCAAAAAGAAAAAAATGAAAGTTCGGAGGGTGAGATGTCCCTGTTAACTATCTGAGGAAGAAATTCCGGAGCAAAAGTCAACCAATGAAGAAAATCACGAGGATATATTAGAAGTAGAACCTAACTTATTTGCAGTGCCATTACCCCCTGTAATTGTGAGATACTTTCACGAGGCACCAACTCGAATCCACCAAGTCCTAAACTTCCAAGGGACCAAAAGAGACTTAGATTTATCCATAAAGTTTATGAACTAATTAAGAGTGCGTTTATTAAATTGTAAAGGAATGTAATGAAGTAAAAGAGTAAAATAATAGGAATAAGAATTATTAATTTTTTGTGTTTATTTTAAGTTTAGACAGTGTAATGTGAAACAATCTCATTTCATTTCTTATGCTTAATAAATTAGGAATAACAATATCATCAATGTAATTACTAAAAGGTACTTTACATAATTAAATAATTATTGATTATGTAGCAATTCATTAAGAGTAGATAAATAAATTTGACATTCATTCTCTTAAGGAATCAATAGGGATGTAAGGATTGACATTCATTTTCTTCATTCTTTATATTGTATGGGACACATTAAATCTTTATTACTGATTTTGTACGTAAATATATTATTAGATGGAAAAAAGAATCATTCTTTACTTTCTCTTTTCTTTTGATGCAAAGTAAACGCGCCTTAAAATGAGGTTAAAAACAAATCACTATTGTATCAAAGATAAGGGCAAAATATCTAGGTTTGCTGTGACGTTGCTTTCATTGCGGTTGGCTTTTAAGTTCTTGTATTGCAATAGTGAGTCATATCTTTATTACCACTAATTATTTTTGAAGTGCTGATAGTACGGTTTTATCTTCTTTTAGTGATAGTACTTAGCATTAGTGATGCTCTAAATATTTCTCAAAATTTTCTGTGATAGATATTTAGCCACGTGAGATAAGCACTGTAATTATCATAGAAGCCCTAACCACCGTGAGGTCTATATATTGACATGCACGTAGGAAGCTTTCGATCAAAACTCAGTACAACAAAACGAATTAAGAAAAACTTGACCTACCACTTGATTATTTCATCCAGCAAATCACCATTTGATATAAAAAGAAATGTCGGTTCCATCAGTAGTTGTTCAGACAAAAGCCATACCCGAAAATGAAATTATTCGCCGGTCGGCAAATTATCAACCTAGCATCTGGCGTGATTACTTTCTCAGTTATTCGTCCCAATCTTTGGTAGAATATGTGCATTAATCTTTGAGAATCATTTCTTCAGACATAGTAAAAAATATATATTATTCGTCGTGTGTGTGTATGTATATAGTGTATTATTCTCTCTCCCTCTCTTTCATTTTTCCAATGGGCTATATGTTGGGGTACGTGCTCATAAATCAAATAAGATGTAAATAATTATTAATGAAATGAAGAATTTTTTTAATATTATTTTGTATGCATGTGATGTTTTATAACTATCAAAACTCCTTAGTTTATTTTAGATATAACTTTAAAATTTGTATATAAGTGTCATATGCAGATAATAATGTTTGAAGTAAAATATACTAAACATGTCCGTAATTATAAATTAAAGTTGAGATGTTTAATTTAAAATTACTAGTGCGGTTCATTATATTCTGAATGAAACAATCTTATCCTAGATTATTTATAATGAGATTATTGGAATGAAAACACTTTAGGTAATATGATTACATAGGACTGGAATGTGATTAATTATGAATCTCTAATAAATTTTATTATTAAATAGAGCATTTAAAATTAATCAATGATAGTTATATATGAATTAATATTATTTATGAGTAATTAATAGACTCCTATACATATTATATACGTGTTAAAAAGCACTATTAAATGAACAATACTTCAATCAAAACGTGTATTTATGTTTTTTATGGTGTTTTTTTCTTTCCATCTTTTCCTTTTCCTTTTATTTTTTCCCCATAATTTTACCTAAACTATTATTATTATTATTATTTTGCAAATGTTTTTCTACTTAGACATTTACTTTTGGTGTGCTCTAAAATTTATTTATTTTTTCATTTTATTCCTTTTCTTATCCTTTTTTATTTTTGTCTTGAAATTTTATTTTTCTTTCGTTTTAGATCCTTTTGCCCTAAAATTTATTTATTTTTTCATTTTAGTCCTTTCCTTTCCGTTTTTTATTTTTGTCCTAAAATTTTATTTTTCTTTCGTTTTAGTTCCTTTTGCCCTAAAACTTATTTATTTCTTTATTTTGGTCCCTTTTGACATTTTTTTTTTAATTTTGACACTGAAACTTTATTTATTTTTTTATCATTTTGATATTTTTGCCCTAAAACTTATTTATTTATTAATTTTGGTCCTTTTTTACCCTATTATTGTTTTTGTCTCTTAATTTTATTTTTCCCCACTTTGATTCCTTTTTGCCCTAAAATGTATTTATTTCTTCATTTTGGTTATTTTTCACCCTTTATTTATTTTGCCTGAAATTTTATGCTTTTTCATTTTAGTCCATTTTGCCATAGTTAAATAAAAAGAATTGTGTTCTCAATAATTAAAATATATTGCTAGGTAGATATATATATATATATATATATATATATATATATATGTATGCATATATATACAAATTAACATGCATGCACGCATACCTCGTGGGAAACAATGTCGTCCATGTACCTACAAATGTGTCCACTTGTTTCCCACAGGATTTGTATCCACAAGAAAGATGATAAGATTCAAGTGGATGAAATCTGTCAGTAGGCTCTTAACACATGAATCTTGTGGGAAACAATGTCGTCCATCTATATACAAATCCTAGCAGTTGTTTTCTCCGAAAGAAAGATTAGTGTGTTGAGCTCTTTGTCCAGTATGTTCCCCAAATATTGTCCATAATTAAAAAGTTAGGTTCTTGCACTGTAGGATTTGATATAGACTAGTTAGTGCATATATTACTACAAGAGAAAAGGGCTATTAGCGACGACAAAAAGTCGTTGCCAAAAATACAAAGTCGTCATAAATGAATTTTTAGCGATCACTTGTCGTCGCAAACATGTCGTAGCAAAAAATAATTTTTGCGACGACAAGGAGTCATCACAATTATATTTGCGACGACAATTGTCGCAAATGAGTCGCTGTAATTATTTTGTCAGTTACATATATCGTTAAGATGACATATCATTGAGTATTTGTGACAATATTTAGCAAAATAAGTCATCGCAAAAGATGCAGAATTAACTAACGTGACTTACATGTTTTGCGACCACATTTGTCGTCACAAATAATATTTTAATTTTTTATTTATTTTCTCTCATTTTAATAATTAATGTTGTATATTACTATATATTTAAACCCAATATTAAATATAATTCATGATATTATAATAATAAAGAATAATTAAATAAAAGGAAATAAAAAAAGATAAAAATAAAAATTATTATTGTAAAAAATAATTAATAAAATAAAATAAAAATATAATTATAGTGAAAATGTACGGAAATAAAAATTGTTACATTAATAAAAGTCTCCTAAATTAGCAGCATTACTAGAATTATCGTCGTTATCATCGGAAGAATTCGGAGACGGATGACCTGGATGGACATACAGCATAGGAGGAGTAACTACTGGGAAAGTCATGTTGGGGTGCATTTGAGTGATGAAGTCCTACATCATTCTGACGCTCTCGTACAGCTAGGGATTTTGTTGGTAACTTTGTTGCAAGTATTCTTCTATGTGTGGGTTCGAGCATGTCGTAGAAGATCTTGCCGAGCGTGAGCCAGATGACGACGCATCCCCTCGATAAACCTTTTGTGGGAGTGTGCGACCCACTCCAGTCTTGTGTCCTCTGTATGTGCCCAGAAACTGCTCCATAATATCCTCCTCGTTAACTTCTCCTGCCGCGGATGATCCAGAAGTAGCAGACTGCGTCTGGATCTGTGTTTCTCTTTCTCCCTCCATCCGATGCTACGAATATTATAAGCAAAATAATTAAATACGTAATGGGATTTAAATAAAAAAAATATAATTAAACATTACGAGTATACTTACAAAAGTCTACTCAGCTTGGGTATTAACCCAAGTATCCCCGCGACGATGCATGTTCCTCCAGTTATCGATGACGGACATCGACTGTTGAGATTATGTGGTAGACTGTATAGTAGTTTAAATATATATGAATTTAGTGTAATCAATTACCAAATTAACAGTTATATTAAATAAATTATTAACAAATACTTACTTTCTTCTCGTGATGTTAGGAATACGACAGCTGATCATGAAAACTCGACCACTTTTGGTTGCTACGATTAAGTTTATTGATTCCTGAATTAATTCATATGGCATGGACATTGATGCAACAAGGCACGATAATTTAGGGTTCACACCACAATTTCCAGGAAGTATTGCACTGCATCCCATGTTGGCCTGTCATGCGTGCAACATCGTGCTGCGCATAGGCCAAGCATGTCGTCGGTGCTTGTGATGCTAAACAGTATTGATAGCCTTTTATTGCCTTACCCAACAGATCTGGCTATTTCGTGAAGATAGAAGCACCAAAATGGTATCCTGTCATCCGTATCAGAAGCAGAGGATCGTTCTCTAACCATACATAACTAATAGTCTTCATGTCCGAATTAGTCATATGATTTTGTACGTCATATTATACATTTTTTATCCCCTGGTTTTACCACCATAATTAAATCATGGGCAAATACAACGGAGTTGTTGAGAGAAAAAAAAAAAAAAAAAACTATTTAATACTTTTTTTCTATTAAATACTGCGGTCAATTGCTGTGGGCAAATTAAGGTGGTATTTTAATCTTTTTCAACTTTTTTACGTAAAGCAACTTCTGAAACTTAAATAAGCGCTTAGAATATATAATGGTACTTGGTCAATTATATAAATCTATGAAAAGTTTGTACGTTTTCCCCTGCTACAAATTAGAGGCATAATGAAACCTGTTAGCTGAACATATGCACTAGAATTAAAATTAAGAAAATCTAGAAAATACCTCCTCAGTTTTAAGTAAATTTTTTATTATTCAAAGTGTATCCCTTTTTAGACTATACCAAAAATATCTCCTAAGTTTTTGGAAGGAAGTAAAATATAACCCTTCAACTGTCAAATTGTTGAAAGTGGCGTAAATGCCCTTAGTGATCAATATTTAAATATTAATTAAATTGAGAAAAGACAAAAGAGGGTTGCTGTGTTGTAGCTTTCATTGCAGTTGACTTTTAAGTTTTTTTATTGCAATAGCGAGTCATATCTTTATTACAACTAATTATTTTAGAACAATACTATTAGACAAAGGAGGTGCTAAGCACCATCCCTAATATGGGGTGAGTCTTACTACGGTTTCATCTTCTTATAGTGATGGTACTTAGCACTATTGATGCTGTAAGTATTTCTCAAAACTTTCTGTGATAGATCTTTAGCCACGGGAGATAAGCACTGTAACCATCATAGAAGCGGTAACCACCACCAGGTCTATAAATAGACGTGAACGTAGGAAGCTTTCGATCAAAACTATGTACAACAAAACAAACTAAGAAACAATTTATTTCATCCAGCAAATCACCATTTGATAGAAAAAGAAATGTCAGTTGCATCAGCTGTTCAGAGCAAAGGCATACCCAAAAATGAAATTATTCGCCGGTCGGCAAATTATCATCCTAGCATCTGGCGTGATTACTTTCTCAATTATTCCTCCCAATCTTTGGTAGAATATGTGCATCCATCTTTAAGAATCATTTCCTCAGACACAGTAAAAAATTTATATTATTCGTCTTGTATGTGTGTGTCTGTGTGTGTGTGTGTGTGTGTGTATATATATATATATATATAGTATGTATTATTCTCTTTCTCTCTCTTTCAATTTTCCAACGTGCAATAGTCTGTTAGGAAAATCCTACTTACAATGCTGCTGCTCCTTATATTTTACCAAATTCTCAATGCATATATATGGTTGATATTTGAGATGAACAATCAATTTCCTAAATACATATAGTTTGAGCAATAAATATATAATCCACTTGCATGTGGAGAGAGACAGTCTCGTACTAATGCATTTTTTTCCTCCTGTTTTCGTAATTGTTAGGAAGTAGGGAACAATATAAAGCAAGAAGGTGAAAAACTGAAAGAGGAAGTGAAGAGGATGCTTGCTGCTGCTGCCACTGGCCCTTCAGAGAACGCAGAATTGATCGATATAATACAACGCTTGGGCTTCTCTTACCATTTTGAAAGCGAAATTAGTGAAATATTGGGATTGATGAAGAAAAATATAGTTCTGGATATCGGATATTTCAACAATCATGATGACCTTCATACTAGTGCTCTTAAGTTTCGGTTGCTTAGGCAACAAGGCTACAACATAGCAAGTGGTATATATTATCTATATATATTTTCTTAAATCATCTATTTTTGAAAATTCGACCCCCTGTGTTTCCTTGTTTCAATTACGTCTTATGTTCGTCCAATAATATTATGTTATGACAATCAAAATATAATTCCACATCACTTAAAATTCTATATCAGATAAAATATTTTAATTCATGTGGCATGATATTGTTGGAATGATCACGTGAAAGAGAAGATGAAAAAAGGGACACGAGTAGAATCCTTTTATTTGACTGGCCTAATTAAGCTAACTGTTTTCTTGGTAAAACAGATATATTCCAGAAGTTCATAAACAAAGAAGGGAAGTTCAATGATGACCTTACTGATGATGTTAAAGGGATGTTAAGTTTATATGAAGCTGCTCATTTGAGGAGACTTGGAGAGCCTATACTAGAAGAAGCACTTGCTTTCACTACCACTCACCTTAAGCCCTTAACGATGTCTTCGTCCCAGTTGAGCCCTTTCCTTGCAGCACAAGTCAAGCATGCCTTGACGCAACCAATGTGGACGGGCTTGCCGAGGTTGGAGGTGAGGCGTTTTATTTCTGTTTACCAAGAAGAACCTTCACACAATGATGTCCTGCTTCGCTTTGCAAAGCTGGATTTCAACATTTTGCAAAAGTTGCACCAACAGGAACTTGGTGAAATGTCAAGGTTTAATCCTTCTACACCTTGAATATTTGTTTACTTTTATAAGTTGGTATTAGTTTCTCCTTGGGTTATCTACTTGATAAATTCTTGTTCGTACATGCTCATTAGGTGGTGGAAGAACTTGGATTTTGTGTCAAAGTTACCTTTCGCACGAGATAGGCTGGTGGGATTGTATTTCTGGATTTTGGGAGTGTATTTTGAGCCTCAATATTCCCTTGCTAGGAGAAGAGTAACCAAAGTAATCGCTATGACTTCTGTCCTTGATGACATATATGACATTTATGGAACACCTGAAGAACTCAAACTACTCACAGATGCAATGGAAAGGTTTTCTATTTAGCCTGCATGAACTATTATACACACACGTATTTATGTATGGGTGTGGTTTTATGGTTACTCTATTATTTACCAATCGATAGTATCATTATTTTAACTGTAAAGTATTGATTTGACAGTTGTAATAATAAATTAGATTGTTGATTAAATAAAATTATAATAATTAATAAAATTAGATTCTTATCAGGTCAGTTTATTAAATTTTTATATTTAATAATGACTACCGATGGAAACGTAACTATTAAAAACTTATTTATATATGTATATATGTACATGTATGTACGACTAATTAGTTCTTACTTCTAGTTTTAGCCGCTCTGATTGGAATATCGATATCTTTTGGTTCGCAGGTGGAATATCAACTGTCCGGATGAACTTCCAGAATGCATAAAATACTTTTATCATACGCTATTACAAGTGTACAAAGAAATTGAGGAAGATATGGTTAAAGCGGACAGAGAATATTGCATTCAGTATGCTAAAGAAGCAGTAAGTTATGTGACCAAAATTTAGGATAATTTGCTATATTTATTTCTAACATTTTGAACTTATAAAAAGTGTACATATTGTTGTTGAGTTTTAATTTCATATCAAATTTAAATCCTCTTAATTTGCGTTTTTATTCTTTTACAATTATCATCAATTTGACTTTCACAAGCGGTGAATTTGTTCATTATTCTAGTCGTCAAAACAAGCATGTCAGGTCCAAGAAAAAAAAAAAGGACATAAGTTTAATATGAAATTTGAATTTGAGGGCCAGTTTTTGTTCGTGCGCTCAACCCATATGATTTGAATTATATCCTACCTCGTGGTTTGAATTAGAACACTGTACTAGATTTTTTTATAAATTTAAATTTTAGTAAAGTAAAATATAATTTGAATTGGGTTCAAATCCATCCACCAAACAAACGAAGCCTAAATGTATTATGTTGAGAATCATAAACTAATACATTATGTATACTTATTAAAAAGAAACATATCATTTTGGTACTCTATAGTATAGTGAAATATACACTTAATATCATGTATTTTTTATTATATTAAAATAGTACCTTAACATTTTAAAAAATCTTTTTTTTTGTACCTAGACACCTTTTTTGGGACATAAGATGGCAAATTTGCCCTCATATACATATAAAGTGTACAATTTTGTCTTTTTTACGGTACCCTAAACACTGAATTGACAAGGATAATAGTTTTTGTTGTTTTTATCTATTAAATGGAAATTCAAATCAGTCAATTAAGAAAATATTAATAAATGCATATTTGACATTTTATGTCGCAAAAAAAGCTCAGAATACAGTCTATTTTTTCTTAAAATGTTAAGTACTATTTTAATATTATCAAAAACACAAAATAGGAAGAGGATATTTTGATATAACACATTAGGGTACTAATATGATTTTATCCCTTATGAATCTATACATATTATATACGTGTATGTTAAAAGTACTGTTCTTATGAATCTATACATATTATATATTAAGAAGTACTGCTCAACAAACAGTACTTCAATCAAAACGTGTATTTATGTTTTTTATGGTGTTTTTTCATTCCTTTTTTTTTTTTTCGTTTTCCTTTTACTTTTTTTTTCCGCAGAACTTTATATTTTTCGTTCTTTCGCCGCTTTTTAATTTTTTTTTCTTTTATTTACCTTTTTTTTTTTTTTTGCAAATGTTATTTTACTTAGAGTTTTACTTCCGGGGTGCCCTAAAACTTATTTATTTTCTCATTTTATTTGTTTTCTTATCCTTTTTTATTTTTGTCTTAAAATTTTATTTTTTTTTCGTTTTAGTTCCTTTTGTCCTAAAATTTATTTATTTTTTCATTTTGCCCCCTTTTGACATTTTTTTTTATTGTCAAACTGAAACTTTATTTTTTATCATTTTGGTCGTTTTGCCCTAAAACTTATTTATTTCTTAATTTTTGTCCTTTTTTACCCTATAATTGTTTTTATCCCTTAATTTTATTTTTCCCCACTTTTATTCCTTTTGGCACTAAAATGTATTTATTTCTTCATTTTGGTCATTTTTCACCCTTTATTTATTTTGCCTGAAATTTTATCCTTTTTCATTTCAGTCCATTTTAACATAAAAACTTAATTATTCCTTGTGAAAAAATATATGGCGTAAGGGATTATGTGGCCATTTAAATAAGATTGGAAAAAAAATATGTGTCAATGGTGTGTCATTAAAGAGTAGTCCATAACTGCACCTTCTTGTGAAAAGAAAAATATTTACCGGCACTATTGGTGTGAAAAGAAAAATATTTAATGGCATTATGGGTATTGAGTACCACTATTAATAAAAGGTTTCAGTACTTTTATCTTCATTAATGCCTCCATTGACGAAAATCTCTTTACTAGATGAAAATGCAAGTTCGATCCTACTCTCATGAAGCCAAATGGTTCCACGAGAAGTACACACCAACATTGGACGAGTACATGGACGTTGCATCAATGTCGAGTGGTTTCCCGCTGCTTACGGTCATTTCTTGGCTTTACATGGGAGATATTGTTACAGAAGAGGCCCTTGAATGGGCGTCAAAACATCCAAAGACTGTTCGAGCTTCATCAAACATTGCCAGGCTCATGGATGACCTGGCTACGCACAAGGTACGAGTATAATTAACAATATTTACACTAGTACTAACAATATTTACAACATTTTCACTCTGTTCTTCTTGATATATATACTAGTACTATAGTATAGTTCATCATGCAGCCTCTCAAATTAACTGTTGCTGGCCTTCTTTGGCATACCATGAGTTGCTAGTACAAAAATTGAGAACGACTATGATTAAAGAACGCCATCATAAGTTTTATCTAAGCTTTAGAGAGAGCTGCTAAATTGCGATTCGATCGTTGTATTTTGAGACGTACGAAACGTGAGAATTTCTAAAATGCGTGCGGAACTGTCACAAGCTAGCACATTTTTTTAGTATATTAGATGACTTACTCCTCTATAAAACGTTTTTAAATGGGCATCCAGTTTTCTCTAATTCACAGTAGTGCAATAAATTATAAGAGGTTCAAATTAAATAGGTGTGTTTTTTCTTTTAACCTTTTTTTAGTAAATGACGGAAATGTTATCAAGAAAAATGGCCTTATTCAGAAAAGGTTAGTGATAGGCTAATTTGTGGTTTATAATCAGTGATCCACATTGGTGGTCGATCGCTTATTAATTTAGTGATTCATCACTGATGGACTAATATTAAGCAATGATGTCAATCAATAATTTATCGGTCCATCGCTAATAGATTGAAAAATCGAACTATTAGCTAAATTTGTTAAAAATCGGTCTATTAGCGATAAACCATAGCATACCATTGATTGACTACTGCTGAAACTCCCAAAACAAAAGGCCTTTAAACTAAAAAATATGGCTACTAATTTAAAGGGGCTGCCAAAACGGACCATCCACCTAACTTTTGCCAAAATTATACTGTCTATTTTGAATTCTTAATTTACGGTTTTCTAAGTCGTTATCTTTATTTTTTATCAAACTTTTTTCCAGGTCGAGCAAGAAAGAGGGGATGCTCCATGAAGCAATACAGTGCTTCGGAAGAAGAAGCATACGAAGAAGTTCGAAAACAAACTGTGGACGCATGGAAGGACATAACCGAGGACTGGCTTGATGAAGCTAAAGATGTGCCAAGGCCTCTACTTATGCGTGTAATCAACCTTGCAAGGTCCATCGATGTTATTTACAAGGATGGTGATAATTACAGCAATTCTGGTGGGGTCATGAGATCTTTCATTCAATCTTTGCTCGTCGATGCTCTTCAAATGTAATGTTTCACGTTTTGGTTTGGTTTCTTCAATACGGACATATTTGAATTAATCACCAGCGATATGTAAGACGATTGCAATGACTTTTACAGCATATCAACCTCTCCATGATTGGTCTCCCTATCTTTTTGGTTTTTATTTTTTTTCATTTTTTTTTTGTTTAAAAAAATTGCATAAAGGAGACAACTAGTGTGCTATTTATCAATTTCTTAATGCAAAATGATCAAAACATGATAAATTGTGTAGTCTCATATCACTTATGATACGTTATAAGAGATATTTATAAGTAAGGGTATCATTTTCTTATAGTATGAGGTATTTTTGTGTGGGCTTAGACCTGAAAATGGACAATATCAATATCACACCAAATGTAGGTGCAAATCGTTACAACTTATATAAGGATAATTTAATACATCTCAATTATATTGACATCCACTAAAGCATCAATCCCGGACCATGTTCAATATTTCAAAATATAAAATCTTTTTGTGTTTTTTCTGAATTCTAATAATGATGCTAATATCAGTGTTGAAAATGGAAAAAGCATAGAAATTGAATAGGCACCTTTCCACATACCGAAAAAACAAGGAATACCACTCAACTTGGTAAAAATATTATTTATGTCACTCCACTCAAAGATAAACAGTGCCATTCAATTTATAAAGAGAACACAAAAGGTCAAAATGACATCTAATTATTTAAAATAATATAAATAATTAGATCTCACCGGAAGACCAACAGGTGAAGTCCAAATCAAAGCTCGTAGCTTGGAAATTCTAATAAATGTTATATATTAGAATTTAATTGTAGTTACTAGCGGTAACATTTTCGTAAAATGCAGTGAATATCATATTGTTTCAAATAAATTTTAAAGTTCTAAGAATATCCACTCATTTTCTTCACCTACCTCTTCCGTCTTCCCTACAAGTCAGCCCCAGAACAAAGCACGAGAGTGAAAGATAGAGGAGAGAGGAATCTGAAATTGTGGTTCTAGATATATAAATGAAGTGTTTTTGGAATTTTGGTGCATGTAAAAATATCTAATGTTTCTTTTCTGCTATTTACTAAACCTTGTCCTTAATTCTGCCATTAATTTTAATCACTACTCAAAATCTGTTATTTCCCTCTTTCTCCCTAGTTAAAATAATGAGAAATTTTCAAGTGATGTCATTATTTTATTTTTGCCATCAATTTTAAATTTATCATTCATGTCATTAATATTTTGATAAAATATCTTTTATATTCTACCAGATTATTTGTTTCTGGTAGAATACTTTTTGAATTCTAAGAAGTATTTTACCAAAATACATTTTATATTCTACCCCAATATTTTTTAATGGCATAAATAATGATGAAAAACAATGGTTATTCTTGTAATTTTGTTTGAAATAAACGCAAGGGTGATTTAAGAAAATAGAAGATTTGTGAGGGATAATTAAAATAAATAGTAGATATCAAGGACATGTTTAATAAATAACAGAAATAAATCAGATATTTTAGTACACACTACATCATTAAAATCACCTCGATTTACATATCAAGGGATAATTTCAAATTCCTTGCATATTATATCTTCTCACTCTCATGAGAATCAGATGACTCCCATGTTGGTTTCTCAAACTGAATTTTCAAAAACAATTGTGCGAAAGCGTGGTATTGATCGAATCACATAAATTAAAAATTTAATGCGATCATTATTTCATGTTAATTTAACTAGTAAGAAATTAAAGAGAAGAAGAATAATTTACCATCATTCGATTATGACGTTAATCTTAAATTGCTCTAACACCGTCTTGAGCTTTTAAAATTCTAAGAACACCACGGTTCTTTCTCAACGTTTCTCGAGATTAATGTGAACTCGAACATGTGGGCATTCTAATAGGTTTCTCAACACATGAGATGAATGAATAAGAATATCACCTATGATTATTACTCAGTTCTAATAAGTTTATCCACACATGAGATGAATGAATAGGAATGTCACCAATGATTATTACTCACTTTTCTCAAAAGTATGGATAGCACTCAAAATACTTTCTTTAGTTTTTCTTTTCTTTTTCTTCCGTCCTGTTCATTCTACCGAAAACATCCAAAGTGTGTTTGGTTGGGTGGAAAGGAATAGAATAGAATGCAATGGAATTCTAGTTTGATGTTTGGTTGGATTTATGAGAAAAGAATGATCATTCAAAAGGAATGGTCACTCACCCATTTTAGGTGAATTATTATTCCTTCCTCATATGAGAGGAATGACAATTCTAAGTTCTTTTTTTATTTTTTTTCCATAATTACCCTTCAATATTATAATATAATTAAAATATATTATATAGTAGTTATATCTTATAATATAATATAATATATACTATTATTATATTATATTACATTTTATATATTATAATATTATAATTATATTAACAATTTTAATAATATTGTTATATTATATATCATAATTATATAATAATAATTTTATTATATTATATTACATTTTATATATTATAATATTATAATTATATTAACAATTTTAATAATATTGTTATATTATATATCATAATTATATAATAATAATTTTATTATATTATATTACATTTTATATATTATAATATTATAATTATATTAACAATTTTAATAATATTGTTATATTATATATCATAATTATATAATAATAATTTTATTATATTATATTACATTTTATATATTATAATATTATAATTATATTAACAATTTTAATAATATTGTTATATTATATATCATAATTATATAATAATAATTATATTATATTATATTATATTTTATATATTATATTTATAGATAAAATATTAGTGTTATATATAGCATAATGTTAAGTTTGTTAACCTAAAAATATTCACGTTTCATTCCAAAATTTTTTTTAAGATTATAACTAAATAAATAAATTAACTTTCTTTTATTCATTCTTCTTATCATTTTTATTTTCATTCACATTATCATTCTCTTACCGTAACTAAAGACACCCTTCGTGTTTTCCTCTTTTATTGCACGCTTTTCCCTGCAAGCTTAAAGTGGGGAAATCACGTTTTCCCACTTACTACCCCTTTTTTATTTGTTTAGGGAAACGAGCGCTGTGCACGTTTCCCTTAATTGTTATTTTTATTATATATATATATATATATATATATATATATATAAATAAGAGTATATAAGGATCCTTCTTCCTCTCTTTCTTTCTTTTTTTTTATTTAATATTATGGCCAAATCTTATTGGCCAATAAATAAAAATCTTTTCTTATATTGAGAAACGTGGGGACCTTTTAAGAATGAGAAAAGAAAAATTCTATCTTTTTATAAAAGTGATTAGATTCGTCCACATGAATATAAAATAATTTAAAATTAATTTCAATATTAATTAATTAAATTCATTAATATGTGTATTTAGAATTCTCAATTCTAAATTAATAATCATAACCTAATATAATATGTATAGTTCACATGAATCTTATAGAGCCGTTGAGAGGAACTATGTATATTATACTAAGGCACAATTTAGCCTAGAGACTTAGTAACGCATTCTAACTCTTAGAACATTGAAATTTAGACTTAAGTGGGGTTGTTGAACTAATACGGGCATTGAACCTGCATCTAATTTCAAAATTCTAAGGGCCTAACATATTTAGCTCGTAAGTGCCCGTCGGGATATTTTGCTCGAAAACTATTAAGCTTTTAAAAGAAACTATCATTTGATTTTTATAAAACCGATTACTCATTTATCTCTTTTCGAATACCGAGTTTTGAAACTATTCCACAAGTCATTTTACGGATAGTTTGTAAACCACCGTGAAACTATGTTGTAAAAACCCTTTTTTCAAAATCTTTCTTCATTGCTATGCCTCATTCAAGCGAGGTCTAAAATCATAGTATTTTACTGAAATCATATCTTGGATTCTTTAATGAAATTTTGTTAAAAACCAAAACTGTGTTAGTTTTGTTCAGTTAAAACTGTGCAGTTTCTAAAATCTACATTTTACTGCAACTTAGAGTCAAATTTTAAAAATATGTTCTTCATTATAATTCTTCGTCTTGTCAAGATCTAAAATTGTTGTTTTCAGAGAAAGCTGAAGTTCAGCTTCTAAAAGCCTCGTTTGGCTGAGAACAGTGGCTGCCAGTTCTTTTCTGAAACTGTTTTGGACAACATGTACTGTTTTTGAAAAATGGCTTAAACATGCATTTAGAGTTAAAACTGGGTTTTGTCAAAACATTGAGAACTATAAGTTTAAGTTCAGAATCATTGAAAAATCTCACTCTAGGGTCCTCATTTTCACGTTCAAAGTAGCCGGAAAATTTTTACCTCCAACCCAAAATTAGCAAACTTAAGTCAAGCATACTCATTCTACATAATACTAATCAAACTAACCTTAAAACACACAAAACCAACATAAAACTCACACACCCTTATTACAAATTGTTTCCTTGAGAATCACAAATTACATCCATAGTTCCAAGCTTAAAGTTGGCTAGAAAATAATGGAGGAGAGTTCAAGAAATTACCCTTGAAGAACTCTCTCTTGAAAATCTTTGAAATCCTGCTCTTCTCCTCCAACTTAAACTAAGATTTGCGGTGAGAAATATGGAGACTTTTGAGGGTATGCAAGCTAGAGGGAGGCTTGATTTTTAGTGAGTGAAGAATGGAGAAAGTTTTGAATGCTTAGAGCTTTGTGAAGGACTAGTTTTTGGCAAAGGGAGAATGGAAGAAAAAAAATGAAAGAAACTTAATGCAAGTGGCCGGTTTTGATGTTTCAAAAAAGAAGTGATGTAAGCCTTATTGTTAAATAGTTGATTTAATTCATCTCATCATGAAGTCTTTTAGCACACTCAACAAACCAAAATTTTGGCTTAAATCCCCTTAACATGGCCAGCCAAGATGAGAGAAAAGAGTGAAAAAGAATGTCATGATTTCTCTTCACCTTCCACCATCAAATCACATATGTCATGATTTCTCTTCACCTTCCACCATCAAATCACATATGTCATGATTTCTCTTCACCTACCACTATCAAATCGCATATGTCATGATTTCTCATCACCTACCACCATCAAATCGCATATGTCATGATTTCT